ACATTTTGAGATTATGCAAACCCAAACTGATAATTGCAGTTTATCGAATCTCGAACTTTCTTAATATTTTTTTTTGCTTGGTTCATTTCTTCGAGATATATAATAAATCAAAAATTATAAGACTAATCCTTGTCATGTTAAGTACTTCCTTTAGCTTTGCTCGAAATGGCATTACCATTCTTTAGATAAATCTCTACATTTTTTTTTTTCGTAATTCATGGAATTTATTGTCTAATTCTTTTGCACTCTTCTCAAGTTTATCATTTTCATTAAATTTTTCATTAAAAAGTTTTTTACTAGATGCTCTTTTTCTGACTTTTCTTCAAAAATTATTTCTCTGCTAGTTAAGGCCCATCCTATCAAATACAATACCATCTGGTCTAACCTTAAAATTTAAAAGATTTTATAATTTCATTGGGCTCGATAATTATACTTCTAAAAATAGAATCAGCATTTTCAGAATTATCTTTTTTTGTTAATTTTAAAATCTCCTTATCAGAAAGTTATTTAAAAAAATGAGACAATCTCCTTCGCTATAAGCTTTTAATGCTTCGATTAAACCTTTATTGAGTTTTTTATCATCTTCTGGCATATTCATATTCGTTAGCAACATTCCTAAACTTTTATTTTAGCAAAATTTACAAAATATCCAGCTCCCATTGCCGTAATTGTACCGAATGTTTTATTTTCGAATTTGATTCCTATGGCACTTGAACATAATGATCAGTATTTTTAATAAAAAATTCCGAAAAAGTACTGTCTCTTAATATCAGCAGATTGCGGTTTCTGAACTCACTCCCTAGTCTGAATGTGATAATTCTTTAAGTTGTACATCTCGAATTAATATTTAGGTTGAAGTTACTCATAATTAAGTTGTGCTACTCAATAGTGATGCAAAATTCTGTAAAATGTTATAGTTGCACATCAAAATGCAGTTTCGAATCTTCATTTTGTATCATACTCAAAAAAAGGTCAAATGAATATTTGTAAAACTTTTTTTTATCATAAAAAATCATCTAATTTAGATCCTTATGAACTTGGATATAATCATCAACACGGTATTGGAGTTGAAAAGGATGAACATAAGGCATTCGATTATTATTCAAAATCGGCGGAGATGGGGAACGCTGATGGAGCATTTAATGTTGGATATTGCTATGATAAAGGAATTGGGGTTGAAAAGAATGAACATAATGCATTTATTTATTATCACAAATCAGCAGAAATGGGGAGTGCTAAAGGAATAAATAATGTTGGACGCTGTTATCGATTTGGAGAAGGAGTTAAAAAAGATGAAAATAAAGCATTTTTTTATTATCAAAAAGCTGCAGAAATGGGAATTATCACTTCAATCTGTAACCTTGGACATTGCTATAAAAATGGATTTGGAGTTAAAAAAGATTTAAAAAAAGCTTTCGAATTGTATTTACAAACTGCCAAATTGGATCATATTGATGGAATAAAGAATGTTGGATATTGTTATCGTAATGGCATTGGAACAAAGAAAGATTTAAAAGAAGCTGATCATTGGTTTCGAATGTAGGTCTTTTTTTTTTAGATATATATAAAAATACAGTAAATTCTCCATAACTGCACGCTCTTAGACCGAACTTTAACTACGTGCACTTAGAGAACAATAGAAAAAAATGCATTTGTGAAGGCAACGTATATATTTGGCCCGAATTTAATTAAGCATGCATTTAGGGAGGGTGTGCACTTATAGAGGGCGCATTTCACTGTATATAATTATATAATAAAATATTCAAATATTTAATAATCATAATTATAGGGAGAGGAATAAATTTCAAGGTATTTTGTTTCGAATTTGATTATTTTGTAAATTTTCCCAATTATTGATTTAATAATAATAAATAGAAATAAAGAAATTTTCGTATTTTTATATTGATGAAAACGTGAAAAGAATATTAGATGACGAGAGGTATAAATTATTATGGATTCCGTATAATAAATTTGAGAATATTAAAGAGATTGGAGAAGGTGGATTTGCAACTGTTTATCATGCTAAATGTATAATTGACTATAAAGATGTTTTTGATAAAGAGTCGTTTGCAATTAAAAAAATTCATGATCAGGATTTTTTTCGCGAGGTAAATTTATTGAGCTTTGTCTAATGTCTGAATTTGTGATTAATATTTTTTTAAGTTAAAGGCGTTTTGCGAGATCGGATATAAAAATCCATCGTTTTTAAAATGCTACGGATTATCAAGGGACAATTCAAGAAATTATGTTCTTATTTTGAAATATGCAGAAAAGGGATCTTTACGTAATAATCTTACCGAAGTATCGCAAATGAAATGGAAAGAAAAATTAAATCTATTAAGTTGCATAACATCTGATCTCGAAGCAATTCATTCGCAAGGATTAGAACATCGAGATCTTCATAGCGGAAACATTTTGCAAGATGAATTGGATAACGCATATATTACAGATTTGGGACTCCCTAGTACCAAAAAAGAAACATATGGAGTTTTGCCTTATGTAGCACCAGAGATTTTACAAGGAAAACCATACACTCAATCAGTTGACATTTATGCTTTGGGTATCATTATGACGGAAATCTCAACCGGAAGAAAGGCCTTTGATGGTTATAATTTTGATGAACTTGCAGTAAAAATTGTTAGTGGATTACGACCGGATTTTGCATCTGGTATTCCTGACTATTATATTAAATTAGCCAAGCGATGCATGGATTCAAACCCGAAGAAACGACCTAATATACGATATATTAATGCATTGATTACTACATGGATTGAAGAAATGGAAAACTCTGATGATGAAAATGAAAATGAAATAAAGATACAATTTTCAGAAGCAGATAAAACTAAACCTAACGTTGAATCATCAAAGCATCCAAATAATATGTATGTCAGTCAACGTCTCAAAATTCTTGATGACTTATAGATTACGGCATGTAAATTAGTTATTATAACCGGTCGATTAAATTTGAAAAAAAAAAATTCTGGTTTACAGCTGTTCTCATAAATTATGTGCTACTTGGTAAAAATAAGTTTGTGATTTTCGTTGGAAGGCCTAGCAGTCGGGTAATTGACAGACATCTAGGTGTCAGCAGATCGAATTCTTAAACATTTTCGAATATATGTGTGTTTAAAACTTTTACGTTAATGAATGAAAACCCAAATTGGGATTTGACAATAAGAGTTATATAATTCTCAATGTAATAAGTTTTTTATTATGTAATTAAAAACAGGTATATTTAAATCCAGATCTAACTATTCGGGCTTCAATCATCACCTTTTTTTTACTATCTCTACAATGTAATTACGACAAATATTAATAATCCAGTCAATAATTCGTTCATATTGAATTTTTTATTAACACCTACTCACATAATGTATTTATTAAGTAAGCTTATATTATTATTATTGTATCAGATTTTGAAACTGGGTCTCTATTTGAATATACAAACCATATTAAAACTTACTTATACTCTTTTATTAATAATACCGATCTTAAATTCTATTCTCTCCCCAAAAAATAAATTTCTAATAGTAACTGTTTAATTATATCGGTAATTTTATATCTATTTTTTGTTGTCACACGAGCATGGTCGAACTAAAATTTTTTGATTTGAAGTTCGTAATATTCATTCCTATTCTGACAATAAGGATAAAGAAAACATAATTTTATCATCTACCTCTAGAATATAGTTCTTTGTATAAACCTAATTTGTCTGACCGTTCAATTATTACCAATTTTACTAAAGAAACAAGTCAAGTATTACTGTATAATCATGCATATCATGACATATGTTTCAGAAAAACAGATGCAAGTGTTTGCATTACTTAGATAACATTAAGAACAATGTTAACATGCTTGTTAAATTACTTTTGAACAGTCTAAGCTAGCTTAATTTAGATAATATTGTTGAAAGTAGTTCTAATTCTACTTTTGAAAATGACAATGATATAAAAGAATCTGCAGATGGTATTTTAGCTTCTTGGGATGTTACTATATAATAGTTTTTTCAATTATAATTTTCTAAGATTAATTGCTGTAATAGTTCTTTAATTTAAATTTTATTTATTTATTTATTTATTTATTATACTGGTATTTAAAAATTTTTTTATTAGATTTTAAATGATGTTGGTTATAATTTCATATTTATTAAAATTATCAATTTATGACATAATAAATTTTCTATTTTAGTGAAAAAACCTAAATAAAAAATTTATTTATTATAATTATATTGAACAATCATTACAACGATCTAATTAATAGAAATTTATGATACCAACTAAAGGCAAATTAATATACGCGATCAAGGCTTCAATACTTATCGTTATCGTTATCGAATAAATTATTAATTGCTAATAATTACGAATCAACCAATCAAATTTTACGATTATCAAAAATGATCTACATAAAATCAGCCAATTAGACGAATTTCTGTCCATCCCGATCTTTTTTTTTAAACAATGAATTTACAAAGATTTCGTTTACGTTTCTTGAATCCCAAGCCATTATTTGACGTTAGTTACACTTTTACTTATAACACTAATGTTAAAGTTAAAATATATCCTCAACTATCTAATATTTTACAAAATAAATTCAGACAATCATTTACAAATCAATCATTTACAAATTTACTTTACAAAATACCACCACGTAATAAATTTTTAAAACCAAGAATATTATTTACAAGTCCTCAAAAAAATTCATTTCAATTAATAAATAATCAAGTAAAATCATATACATCATTAACAAACACAACATTAACAAAGCAAGAAGAAAAAAAAAAAAAAAGAGAAACAACATTTATCTATGTGGCAAAACAAGCCAAAACACAACTTTTTAAAATCATTAAATTCACTTTAACAGTGATGTCATTAATGATTTTCATATTTTATTTGGCATACCGAGGATTTCATTTATATATAGAATATTTTTTACATCCCACACCAAAAAAATTATCATCAGAAGCCAGAAATTGTTTAAGAGGTGCGTACTTTCGAGAGGAAATGGTAACTGATTCTCAAGTAGCAGAAGTATATTTAAGAAGAGCTTTAGAAATTGCTATTAATAAACAAAATTTAAGTTTAGATGAACCAGTAGTTATAGATATTTGGTTACGTATAGCTTATAATTATGTATGGACAAAAAAATTCGAAGATGCTAGTTTAGTTTATAGATCTATTTTAGAATTATTGTTACAATCAAAAAATCCCGAAAATTTCAAGAAAGCGATCGATGTATCGAAAAAATTGGCAGAGGTTTATATTACTATGAAAGAATTTGATAATGCAGAAAAATGGTTGTGTTGGTCGATTGAGATGTTACAACATGATGAATATGAAGAAAAAATGAATGAAAAAATGAATTGGGTGATTGATGAGGAACAAAACAGAAAGTTAGAAATTTCTACATCGATTCTTGAAAATTCTAAATTTATTAGTGAAGAATTGGTTAAGTGTATTGATTTGCTTGCGGGCTTATATGCACAACAAAAGAAATTTGAACTTGCTTTACCATTGTATCTAGGAATTCTTAAAACGCTACAAAACAAGTTGAAAGATCCAAATCAAGATAGGTGGAAATGTTGGGAAGCAATAACAATGGGTCATTTAGGTGAAGTGCTTTATGGTTTAGGAAAACATGATGAAGCGATGGGATGGATGCAACAAGGTTTAACTATTTCAAAAAATTACCGTGGTAACAGAGATTGTGATGAATGTTCTGGCGTTATTTTTAATAATTTGGGTTTAATTTACGAAAAAAATGATAACTTTGAGGTTGCAAAATCATTGTATAGCCAAGCTATTTCGTATGCTACTAAAGCTCAAGATTTTGTTGGACTCGATCAATTCTCTCTGAATTTAGATCGATTGATTAGTGAGGAACAACAAAATTCGGTTATTGTTGACTGATCATCCCATTTACAGATTATGAAAATGAGATGAACATTTAATTATTGTCAAAAAAACCCCCCCCCAAATAAAATAAATAAACTCTTTTACTATTATTTTTTTCTTAGTTCTTTGATCGATTTCTTATAATCGTAGTTGTCAGCATTTTTGTTAGAGGATATGTTATTATTACCCATTCATGATAAAGTATGGTTACTTTATGTTATTCGTCTCAACCCGTGAGCACTCAAATCTCTGATTAGATCAACTTATTCAAATTTGCTCGAAATTACTGCAGTTCCTGATCGACTCCGGATCTCACAAATCATGATTCGAATCGAATTATTCGAGTCACGAGATGGCGAGTCCAATCGCTACTGTATATATTGCAGATTCAGGACTTTTAATAACAGTTAACATTGGATCAAAATTAAAGTTTGATGAACTTTATAAAATTCCACTATACATTCTCTAAAGATTAAATAAGCACAGTATATTAAAGGATCATTCATTAACTGTTAATTTGCTTAAGATCACATATTTAGCAATATGCTATGTTAATTTGATGAAAAAATGTTCCAAAAACGACCAGCAACAACAGAAACTTATGATTACAGTGTGACAGAATAATGTAAGTATACTATCAGAACTATCTGACCTGATGAAAAAAACTGCAAAATATAAAAACGTTGCATATATATATTGTATGTAGGAATAGAATTTAAGTGGATTTTGAACTTTCTTAGGATTTTATGGTTAGGGATGTCGGTTTATATAAAATAAAGATTACACCAAGTTATAGAAATAATTTTATATCATGATGCTTATATATATTAAGATATCAATAGTTTATAAATATTTATCGTAAAGGGATCATGTAAAAAATTCCCATAATAATAGACTCACATGAATTAGACCCACAGGATCTAAATTAATCAAATACGGCTTTTTGTTCAAATATCTAGACTACTTACTGTAATAATACAAGTGCAAAATGTGCATGCTTTTCGAAATTTTTCTCTTAATTATATAAACTTCCAGTCACATGCCAAACATGGGATCTATTGTATTTTTAAAATTGATGAAATGTAAGAGATCTGAATCTTTTATATGGCCCTTTACGGCATTGTGTTTTATAGTAAGAAATAAATAATAGATATAATGCATTGGGAAAACCGGAATTCTCGCAATCTATGATAACTGCGCAGTAAAATTACATCACAACGGCATAATTGTAGCTGTGAAATTTTCATTTATCGTTATGACAATAATTTGTGGTATGGTTACACAAACGCGAACTAAAGAAGGTTCTTATTACACGTGGCAGTGTATCGCTAAGAAACTAGTTTCGGGTCCAGAGTACGTAGCGAAAATAAACATAAGATTTTTCTCAAATGAATTATTAAAATGATATCATACAAGCCCCTTAAGAAATCGTAATACTTTTAAGAAAATTATTTGAATGGTAAAATATTCGTCTCTTTGAGTAAAGCCGTGTTTATTGTTGTAAAAATATAAGAACCCTCAGATTAATTAAATAATTCAATTCCGCTAAAAAATCTCAAAACTTCGAAGTAACTATTTAACATTCGAAGAGGGGTGAATTAAAATAGAGATGCTGTAAAATGAAAATCAACACTAAGAAATATCAAACCAGTTTATCATTAATGTATCATAAGTTATTTATGTATTTAGTCTAAATTAAACAACTATCGAAGTATTCATGTATGTCATGCAGTCTTCTTATGCTCTAAGGTTAAAAATTGGTGTTGGATAGCTTTATACTTCTGCTTTTTGTTAACAATCAAATAGATCATATTATAACGGACACTTATCCACAAAGCAGCAACACTAAAGCAGAATGTTAATATATATGTTATGCGTCATTTTTATAATTTGTCAATTATTAATCGACGCATATCATTTTCCATCGAGTGAAAGAGATTATGAGACACTGATTAATCGCGTAATAAATTAATATTGTACAATTTACCAAAAAGTTAGTTCTTTTTCTGTCATATACTTTTTTCATCGTAGTGCTTATGTACTTACAAGCTACAATTTTCAGACACCAATGAGAAATAAACAGAGCTTGAAGAATAGAGGTGCCTACGATGAGCACCAAACTACATCAAAAAATCTGTACACGAACCTTAGCAAAATACTACATGTCAAGTTCGCAATATTAAAAAATTCATTAGTTCATAATATTTAAAAACACAAATAAATATTCAAACACGTTCAATCTATGATAGAACACCCATTTCTTTTTAAGGAAATTGCTACGTACAAATTATAATTCAGCCGCTTTATACTCAAGACAATATGGATGCATTTTGTATGTTAAAGCAATTTTGGTAATGTGTTAAAGAAATTGTATTTACAATGTTTAGGTTAATTGAATTGAAACATAAAATATTCACCCATGAGAATTAAGCTTAATTTAGGCCGAAATTCGAAATTTCACCCCTGCGCATTAGTACGCGAAAATACGGTATTATTTTTTTAAAAAGATGTTTTCTTAAACGAATATCCTGTTATAAATATTATAAAATGATGCCTATATGCAAACGTCCTCTTCGATACGAGTGTTCAACTTTGTATATATGTGCATAAATTTAAATCGATGATGCAATACTTTCACAGGATGACGAAACCACCCGTAATTTATGTAATTTAGGATAACAGTGATATGCTATTTTTTTTATATTAAATAAATATAAATATAACTCGATAACAATCATCAAAGAACGTCATTTAACGTTATTTATTTATTAAGCTTCAAAGTAAAAGTAATGTGTTAAAATGATTTAGAAGAAACTGTTATGCGAGTAGAAAACCGAGTTTTTCAAATTAAAGATTTCCTTCACGATTCTCATATAATCACGCGTATATGGAGTGTACGATATATATTTCTGTACAAACAATATTGTCGTCATTATCATCATCGAATAATCAAATCGTTAGTATATTCTATTTAATCGTTAAAAGAATTACCATATGAGACAACTATAATCAAAAACTTTCCCCCTTTAATTTTATCAATTCTCAATATTACAGAAAATGATGCTATTATTATGATGCTTTTTCCTGTAAAATAATCGACCGGTTTAAAACTAGCACCTTACATGAATATGCATTCATAGGAAGACTTTCGTATAATTAGCTAATATTTTCTATTTAATTTTACATTTTATTTATACAGTTTGAAGTACTTTTTTGAATAAATAAAACTACTCAGAAATAAAATAAACAAGTGACGTAGAAAGCTTTATTAGATTTGTAGGACTCTGTTATTAAAAGATATCTAACTCCCTCTTTTGTTTAAAAAAGTTAGCACAGTAGTAATGATGAAGAAATGAAGTTACTATCATACTAACTTTTTAAACCAAATTAGGGGTCAATTTTTACGTTACTCTCGATCCTTAAATTTAATTGGTCACGCGTATGTACGTACGTATATATAGTAAATAGTACGTATCAGTTGTCGTTATAGAAGACAAATAATTCCAAAATGACCAAATTTTTCGAAAAGCTTTCGAATAATTGTCTTGAACTTCTTGATGATAAAGAGGATTTTAACGTAATTATTAATGTTGGAAAAACTCCAAATACTAAGTTAATCCAAGCACATTCCAATATTTTAAGATATAGATCTTTATATTTCCGTAATGAATTAACAAAGATTAAAAAAGATAAAAATAACATTAAAACGATTAATTTAGACCATATTGGGCTAGTAAATGAAACCTTTATTTAAATACCAAATAACATTAAACCGATTAATTTAAACCATATTGGACCAGTAAATGATACTTTTATTTAAATACCTATATACATATTACGGATAAGTTTTCGTATCTGAATTTAGAGATTTAAAATAAAGGTCCAATCTTACGAGTCCATGAATATTAGGGTTACTTTAGTTAATATATGTATGCGAACTAAATTACAAATTTTGAAATAACTTACTAAATGATAAAAGATATATTTACGGAGGTATGGTTTTTTTTGGAAAAAGGTCAAGATGCATCATTATTTTTAACTTTATCCTTATTGCTTCCGAATTTCATCTTGATAAATTAACAAAACACCTTTAAATACTGTTGATTAAAGAAAATGCACACTGGCTCCATTCAAATATTACTCTCATTTATCATAAAGTTTCCAAACGAAAAACATTAAGAATTACAAAAATGGAGAGATGATATTATAGAAGTGTATCCAGACAAAAGTTTTGAATCGGAAGATTTCATTCATTACGCGAGACGATTTACAGATGAAAGAAGGAAAATTTTGATAACATGTTATTAAATGGGGAATTGTTCAAAATGTGGATTTACCATCCAATCCTAAAGTATGGTCTCAAGAAAACTTTCTAACATTAAAGACTAGTATACATAATTGTTTAACTTTTATTCGTTATTTCCAAATTTCAAATGACGATTTTATTGATAAAGTAAACCATATAAAGATATTCTTGAAAAAAATCTTTGGAAAGATATGACCCAAAAAATAGATCAGCATTATCAACAGTTCCTCACCTTGAAGTGTATTCAGTAAGAAATAATCCATAGAAGTTTAAACTGCTTCTTCGTGGAACAAGAGATGGTTTTACAGCACAATCATTTTGGAATTTATGTGACAAGCAAACAAATACTGTTGTGGTAATGAAGGTTAAAGGTACTAATGAAATTTTGGTGGATATAATCCAATGCAATGGGATAAATCAGTTAATGGTCATATAAATTGCAATGATACTTTATTTTTTTCATCAACAAATGGTACTATTCAAACTTTCATCCTAAGTCGTGTAAAAGATTCACAATATGCAATATATTGTCATTCTATAATGGACCAAATTTTGGCCGTGGTTTTGATATTATAATGGGAATTAATTTTGATCAAACTAGTTGTTATGCTTATCATCGTTCATATGAAAAAGCAATTAAAAACCAAAGTGATCTGTCTCACTTTTGTGTAGAGGAATATCAAATATTCAAAGTTTACAACAGACCACC